GGGCGGGGATTTAAAACTTAAGAATATTACAATAGATTATAAAGTTCTATCTAAAGGAATTAAATAACTTAGTGGACTAATTTTTTTTTTTTAATGTTTGATATAGTGTAAATCTTTAGTTTGAACATTCTTAATTCATATTTTATTTTGTATATGTAAAGAGTTGAAAACATCACACTACGTGAAAACTAGGCTTTAATAGAGAAAATTCAATTGCTAAACTGACAAAATCCGTTGCTAAATGAGATTAGTGACAATTTATCAACAGAAAAAATTGGTTGACAAATTGATCACCTTTGAATTTTAGTGACAAAAAAATTGTTAATAAATCTTTTAACTCTGTCACTAAAATGTGAATGCAATTTTTTTTTTGTCCATAAAACACAACTTACTGATCAAATTTTTCTGTTGGAAATTCATAGCTAATTTTGCTAAATGATTTTTGATTTGATTGGTAATCAGCGACATAATTTTCCATTAGTAAATGCCATTAGTAATTAGTCCTTAAATTACCATCAGAATTTCTATCATTGATCTACCAATAGAAAATTTGGTCACTAATTACCGGTTGAATTTACCAATGGAAAATTCCATTGGTGATTTACCGATAGAATTTATTACTTAAATTAGTGACATATTTTTTTTATTGCTAATCATAATTTAGTAATTAATTTATTGTTTATTTTTATAGAATATTTAGAGCTTGTACCATATTTTCATAATGTTCAATGAAAAAAATGATACACTAATTTAATTAAAATTTATTAATATTTCACAAAAAATGATCTTAATACAAATAATATAAGATCAATAAGTCCTAATCAATGAGTCTCAATAAAACTAATAATGTCCCAACAATTTTCCAAAAGCATCATATAATCTGGATAATAACGTGTTTGCAAGATCAAGTGGATGATAGTTAAATAACAGGACGGAATTAATATAAGAAAAACAACCAATGATTCCAATTCAAGTGGCTATCTCTATGTGAGCCATCACTTGATTAATGAGTAGGTGTGGTGAAAATAAGACCTATATCATTGGACCATCTTCCGAACAATCTCTTGAAGAAAAGATAATATCGAGGTTACTTGTGGTGATTATTGTTGCCACGGCAATAACTTGCAGTTAGCATAGTTGGGTCTTGAAGGTCTGTTTGGCCAACTACCTTATTTAATTTAAATTTCAACATTTTCTCCATATTTATCCCCTTAATCACTTTCTAGAATCTCTAATCACTCTTTGCAACTCAGTACAAAAATTTTTCTTCTTTCTTGACAGATTAGTGCTTGTTAGATCAGTAACGAATTATCAATAAATCAAAAACATCTCGCAAAATCAACAAGTAATTGCTAACTAAAATTTAGTTCATCGCCAAATTAGTGGTAATTACTGATGAACCTAAACTATATATTTGTTGCAAAACTAGCGATGAAAATTTGTCTGTCAGACCCAAAAATAGTAATAGATTATTGATAATTCGGCAATCCATCACTAAATCAGCAATTGATTATTGACCAAAAATTGATCTGGGGCTATATTGACGATCTAAAATCTCTTATTGCAACCTATTATTGATGGAATACAATTATGTTGCACAATCAACAATGGATTGACAATGAAATACATTTATATTGCTAATTTAGTGATAGACTTTTTACAAAAATCTATAAACAAATTAGCGACATATTAACAATTGAAACTTGTCCGTCGCTAATCTATTAGTAATTAGCAATTGATTATTCTTTCAGTAATTTTCCGTTGGTAGAATCTTGTTTTCTCTAATGGTGTTTATTTGAAATTCATATCCCCTATGCTCCATACCTCTTAAAATTAGGATGAATTTTCAGACTTAAAATTTAATAGCTATCAATTGTACGAGAACTTAATCTAGAGTAAAAATGAAAAAATAAAATAATAAAACAGAAATTCAAAATGCTTGAGGTCAATTACATATGTACATTTTTTTGGATAATTGGACTAAAAAATTATTAATATATTAAAGCATTAAAATCTCTGAAATTTATATAGTTAATGTCGCTCAGATTTCAATAAAGGACAGGTGGAAACTAATTAAATGTATGCAGATTTTCATAATCAGATTAAATAAATCTTTTTTTTTTTGAATGGACAAAAAAAAATTTTATTGTTAAATTAATAACTAGTGGTGTCAAATTGAAGGATTAAAAAATATAAAAAAGTAATTTTCTATAAGTATATGTCCTTTTTTTTTATAATAACGCAAAATACATTTGGTTTACTTTTTTGAATGGAAATCTGAATTTTTTTACCCAATACGTAATCAAAGCTTTAAAAAATTGAAAAATATTTTTCCAAATTAAGATTGAAATTAAGCATTTTTTGAAAATAACAATATATTAATATATAAATAAAAGAAAATTGCAAAAAAAGGTAAATGAAATTGATTGCTGCAAATTTGTGCTTGTCCTCATAAAGTATTTGTGTGAACATAACCTTTTTTTTTTTTTAAAATCTTTGTTTTACTTGCTCATATATGATAATTGATGACTATCAATGACACATGATGCCATCTTCTTCACCAAATAACGGAAGGGGAAGATAGGAACTTTAATATATTTCTGTTGGAGTCATCAAATGCAGGCAAGAGCTACGCACAGGATTAGGAGTGGTACTTGTGAAAATCCTAGTTCGTCACATATGTTTTAGAAAGTTATTATCTGTCACAAGTCCCTAAACTTATCTTTTTTTATAATTTCTTATATGGTATCATACATATTATATACGATCGAACAAAAGAAAGTAGTAATATTTGATTAGTAATATATATTATTTCTTATTACTTTTATTAATATTTTTTTTGGTATATAAAAATTACTTTATTAATATTTATGATACTATATGAAGAATACAATATGAACCATAATTTTTATTAAACTTTATCACAAGATTATGAGACTCGCCATTTAATAGACATAGGAGTCACCCCATGTGTTTGTCAAAGAGAATGCAAAGAGAATGGGACCAGATTGCAAGCCTTCAAATAACTGTTTTTTTAGTTTAGTCCAAAAACCCATCTCCTTGTGGGGTTAAACTCTCTTTTTGTGATCATCAAGATACTATTAGGCCATGCACAACAAAAACAATGGCGGCCAAAAGCTAGGGTTGGTGAAGCTGAGGATATTGAAAAACCTGCTAGTGACCCTCCTCAGCCCATTAGGCATCTCCGGGAAGGCCAGCGAGATTGCAGCCATCTGTGGTGTTTGTGTGGCCGCGATAGCCTTTTCCCATGATTTCCAGCTCCCCCTCTCAATTGTGTGGTATATATGGTATATTAACCACTACAACCCTAGCTAAGATCGAAAGGAGGGGGGGATATCTTCCTTATCGAAGGATAGCAAAAAATTTATACAAGTAGGCGTAAGCCACACCAAAGCACTCCAACGTTAGAAGGGGGACAAAAACTGTGTATACTACCTAACCCGGTGTAAGGAGACAACCAACCAGACCAAGCCATGAACTAAAACCAAAAGTCTGGTTAACAAACAAACTCTCTCGATTGCACACACGCAAACCAAACCCAAAAAGTAGAGTTAAGTGTACACATTAACCATTTATTATTGTTATTGTTATTGTTATTATTAGTTTAATTTAAAAAATCAATAAGGCTTCACAACTGAAAGCTTCTATGCGACAAACTGTCCAACAGATGAATCTCAATTTAACACCTTTTTTTTTTTTTTCTAGAAAAGGTAATAATATTTCAATTGTTGCAAAACACTTCATTTGATTCCCAATATATTCCAGTGAGTATTTGTAATTTTTGTATTTTGTTCTTCCTCTAATAAATTTTAAAACATTTATTTATATATTCCAGTGAGTATTTGTAATTTTTGTATTTTCTTCTTCCTCTAATAAATTTTAAACAAAATATTGCTAGCTTTCGGTTCTCATAATGAGAAATTGGGTTTACTGAATTCATATTCCCAATACAAGCGGAGAAAACAAGAAAAAAATAAAATAAAATGAAGAAGCGGGTCTACGAAGTATTATTGTTTATTTTATCTTTTTTAGTAAAGAAAAAAAATTAAACTATAATAATCTGAGAGTTACTAAATTTAATAACTTGTTGAATCTAAATATTAACTCAAAATATTTAAATTTACATTATTCAGTAATAATTTATAACCTTTTATATACTATATCATATTATTCTTACAAATCGATATGAAATGGTATACCACAATCTCTCCCATTTAAATAATTGACATTCTCACCAAATCACAAATCAGTAATCGTATCTAAATAAAACAGATCCGTCGTCAAGTCACAAATTTATATTTATATCCAAATAAATGATACAAAAATCATTCTATTTTAATATTATTTATAACAATCGATAAACTACTAAACCTAATAATTTGTTGAATCAAAACTACTAACCCAAAATATTTAAACTCAAATTATTCAGTAGTACATTCTAATCTCTTATATATTATATCATATTATTTTTACAAATTAATATGGGATGGGATATCAAAATACACGGAGAGAATATGGTCATTTTCTTAGTCTTGTTTTTCTTTTTGGGTTGTCCTCAACAAGATTGAACTAAGCAATTGGCATGGTAGAAACAAATATTTTTAATTAATAAAATTTCAGACAATAACTATGAAATTTTAATTTTTTCTTGTTGGGTCATTCTAGATATAAATTGTATCAGATCTGCAATGAAGTAATTGACTTCCTCGTGCAAAGTCAACTGACTTTTTATGAGCTAACATAAAAGAAAAAGAAATATACTTCGATTTATTAATGCATTAAGTGGATAAAGATTTTCTAACTCCCAAATCACTCCATTAAAATCACATGTAACATGAAACGGCATCATAAACCAATCATCTTGCCAGCTTTAATGTTCATTTTAGGCTATCTATAAATAGCTTCTTCGCCCTCTAACCTTTCTCCACCAAACAAAATCTCTGGACGGAGTAGAAGATAAATTACTTCTTCCCTATCAGCTTAGCCATGGCAAAGAAGCCAAGCATGGGCCGCCAAAAGATCAAGATCGCCAAGATAGAGATTAAGAATCACTTGCAGGTTGTTTAATGTATTGAAAAAGTCAGATGAACTGTGTCAAAAATTGGTATGATTTTATGTGCTCTCTGGGAGAAATTTTGTTTCTGATCGTGTCATGGCTCATATACTTTTCAGGTCACTTTCTCGAAGCGTCGATCCGGCCTCTTCAAGAAGGCCAGTGAGCTTTGCAACCCTCTGCGGCGTTGACGTCGCCGTGGTGGTATTTTCTCCGGCTGGCAAGGTGTTCTCATTCGGGCACCCTGGCGTGGAGAACATCGTGGACCGCTTCCTTAGCCAGAACCCTCGACTGCCAGCACCGCCGAACACTGCTTCCACTTGCCACCTCATGGAGGCCCACCGAAGGGCCGCCGTTCGGGAGCTGAATTCGCAACTCACCCGCGTCCTGGCTGAGTTGGAGGCAGAGAGGAAGAGAGGGGAGACGCTTGATCACGTGAGGAGATCATCCCGGGGGAAGCAGGAGTGGTGGGAGAAGCCGGTGGAGGATCTCGGCCTGGCTCAGCTCGAGCGGCTAAGGAGTCGATGGAGGGCTGAAGAGGATGGTGACACAGCAGCTCAACAAAGCTTTGGTCGAAGGGACATTGAATACGTCGCCGTTTTTGTTGGTAAATACTGGGAATAGAACGGTTGATTTGTGGAGACTAACCTTCCAGATAATCGGTGCTTGTTCTAGTGCTACTCTTCAAGGGCATAATTTTGGGTTTGGTCATGGGTTTTTCTAAGCGGCTTCATTGGTCCAAGCCAGCCAGTATCTCACTGGCCCTTAATTGTTAATTTATTAATTTAATTTTTTTTTCAGTTATGCTAAGTCATGAATTGGGATAATAATTTTTTACTTTCTAATTTCTTATTTATCGGTTACAAATGATAAATATGTTGTATAAAGAAGTGATGATACTAATTACAATCCAGTGGAATAAGATAGCTAATGCCTTAACAAACCCTTTAGCAATCCTGTCATAATTCGTGACACCACGTTGAAATCCGAATAAAGTTTGATAACTGAAATAATAGTTTAAATCAAACTATTTTGAATTATTATTTGTTTATTTTTTTATACTTTGAAAATAAAATTCATAATTAAAATAAAGAATTCCTCTAAAGTTTAAAATACTTTAAAATTTTATAAAATTCTCATCACTTTATCTATAATAAAAAAATTAAATTAAATATATTTTTTCTTGTTATAAATCAATAAATTGTTGTGATTTAGATATTGTTACTAATAAGCTGTCACGATTTCTATATTAAAATTGTCATTATTCGATAAATTCATACATGATCCTATTATTAGATCTACCGTTGATACGTCTAAATTCTAATGAAACTGTCAAAAAGTATATAAAATTGATAATAATTATTTTGTTAC